CGGGCCCAGTGCGGATTGGTGGGTGCTAACGACTGCAGACGCAGCCGGCACCAACGGCTTAACGTGCCTTCCAAAGCACGGAGGAGCTCGAGACAGTAAATTTTTTGGTCACCCATCCAATGAAAGACCACTGCGAAAGTTGCTTAACTTCAACGGTCGCAGCCGATCGCGCTAACCACTTGCGCCATCGAGCTCCTCCTCGATCGAGTATCCACCTATCATCACCGATTATAAGAATGGATTGGGCCCAGGATTCAGACCTATTTACTCACAATCACAATATCTATCTCGTCAGTCAAGAATGACAATAAATTGATTATATTCCTTATAATTGCGTTGAGCCGGCGAGCACAGCTTTGTCTGATCGGTAATTGTAATCACATGGACATAATTTGTACTCTTTCTACTGAAAAGGGAATTATCACGTGAGTCTTAATCGTTATCAATGCTCATTGAAGAGCTCGATGGCGCAAGTGGCTTGCGCGATTGTTGAAGTTAAGCAACTTTTGCAGTGGTCGGTCATTAGATGGGTAACCAAAATATTCCTATCTCGAGCTCCTTCATGCTTCGGAAGGCACGTTAAGCCGTTGGTCCGCACGTGGTAGGTCAATGCTTGACCCGTGCCATTCGGCATAGGCCACCCCGTCTGGGGATTGCCTAGTACCCTAGAGCAATCCCCAAGAGGCGTGTCGCCCGGTCCACTCGTTGGACCGGGCCGGCCCGGGGGCGTTCCAGTGAAGTGGCGCACACAGAAGTGCGCCGATCCTGAAACGCTCCCACATGGGCGTAGGAGGGTACCGGTGGGTTTTAGTGGGTAGGACTGGCGTTGTTCCGCGCCAGGGAATCCATTTACGGAAATCCATTTACGGACCGTACCGCGCCCCCAGCCAGCGCGCGGTACGGTACGTAAATGGATTTCCCATCGACAAAAAAAAAGTCATGCTTGGCCCAATCTTCCTATACCACCTATCATGAAAGGCCAATCTATGCCCCAGCAGCGGGGACATTATTAGGCTGATGATTTTGAATGCTTATCTTATCATATTAGTATCGGAATGATATTTTAATTGACTTTGGATTACGGTCTATATGTGAAAGGTTGTATGTTTGTATGTTAAAAGTTCTCAGCATAATATGTAGTTATTATAATTCTGAGCATTCAATGCTGTGATAAAATGTCAAAATGTAAAGTGGGTAAGCTGCGTACGGATAACGCGTTCCCATCCGATGAAGTACTTTTAGTTAATAATTTTCAAAGTTTCACTTGCATTGTGGTTTCATAAAACCACACAATTCTTTTGGCAAACTGCAAATTGCCTAACGGGATTGCTATGGCTATGGCTATCGCTTACGATTACATATTGTTATTTCTGAACGCCGAAGGTTTTCAAATGCCTCACGCTTATTTTCTTTAATATTGTTATTACCAAAGCAAAAGAAAAAAACTTTATGTATCTATTGATTGCCTTGGCTTAGAAGTTTGATTTGAAGAAGGGACAGTAGACATGAGTATTAGATATAAATTTCAGTTTGATACCTCCACGCGTTCCTGAGAAAAACGGTCTTGACAGACGGATGGACGGACAGACGGACCACAAAGAGATATAAGGGTTCCGTTTTTTCCTTTTGAGGTATAGAACCCTAAAAACGAGCGCAATGCATTTCAAAACCTTCGTCGGTCAGAAATAACAAAATGATATAGTAAATGATAGCGATAGCCATAGCACCATCGTTAGGCAGTGGCCCACCTGAAATGATTGTACATTATTAATAGGTCAATGACGAAGTGTATTTCTAATTGATAGCAGTGTTTTGACGTACATTCATTAATAACGCAAATCTACATCTGACATACTTCCACAGAGTATAATCTTGTCGTCAACGTTTATATAATTATTGCCTGCATGTAATACTTCATTATAGAATTATGTCAAGATGACCCTTAGATAATGTGAGTAAATACTATACTGGCTATCTACGGATAATTATAGCAAACGCCAGAACTAGCACCTTGTAAGAAGATATTATAATAACCTTGTATTTTTTTTAATGGATAGAGACATAAATATAATGAGGAGCTCGATGGCGCAAGTGGTTAGCGCGTTCGGCTGCGATCGTTGAAGTTAAACAACTTTCGCAGTGTTCGGTCTTTGGATGTGTGACCAAAAATTTACTATCTCGTACTCCTCCGTGCTTAGGAAGGCACGTTAAGCCGTTGGTCCCGGCTGCATCTGCAGTCATTAGCACCCACCAATCCGCACTGGGCCCGCGTGGTGGGTCATGGCCCAATCTCCCTATTCCATCTGTAGGGAAGGCCTGTGCCCCAGCAGTGGGGATATTAATAGGCTGATGATGATGATGATTTTTTTAATAACTAGCGGCCGCCCGCGACTTCGTCCGCGTGAACTAAAGTTTTTTGAAAAACCCTCAGGAAACTTAATTTTATTTGGGATAAAAAGTATCCCATGTCTTAACCCAGGTAATAAACTATATGTGAGCCAAAATCATCCAAATCTATCCAAATGCACTGAGCAATTATGCTACCGCGACCCTGATGGCCGTGTCGAATTCTTTCTTTCATATTATTCTCTAGAAAGCAGCTCGAAAGCAGCAGGCTAGAAAGAATTCGGCACGGCCGTCAGGGCCGCGGTAGCATAATTGGTCAGTGCATTCGCCCGGATAGCGACGGGTGCGGGTTCGAGTCCCGTCTGCTGCCTGGTCCGCGTGGAATTTTTTCTAGTAATATTTTCTTTAGATTAAGAGAAATAGCAAAATAAAAATACACAGTCAGGTCATAAGTATTGTCACACAGTAAAAACTTTTCTTTTAGAATGCTGGCCACAAAAAAGTTTATTGACTTCGAATTTCGAATTGTTCATGAAAATAAAAATGTATACTTTTTAGGATTTTACTCATTTTTAAATATGGAGTGGACGCTTAAAGAAGACCGTGTTGCAGTTATTGCATTGCATCGTTGACGTTACGCGCCAATTCAAATTTTAGACATACTGAAAATTTTGAATATAACCAAAAGATTCGTTTATCGTACCATCAAACGATACAATGAAGACTCTAGTGTAGACGACAGGTCAAGAAGTGGTCGCCCTGCGTCTGTTAGGACTCCAGCAGTGATAAAAGCTGTGAAGGCGCGAATTCAAAGAAATCCCAAACGTAAGCAGAAACTGTTGGCCCTTCAGATAGGGTTAAGCAGAACCACGGTGAAAAGGGTGTTAAATGAAGACTTAGGGCTTCGGGCATATCGAATAAAAACAGGACATCGTTTGAATGCTCGTCTAATGGACCTGAGACAGAAGAGATGCCGCGCTTTGTTGAAGCGGTACGCGGGGTAAAAAAATATCGGGAAACTCCTTTTTTCGGATAATTTTTTTTTACCGTAGAAGAGAGCTACAACAAATAAAATGATAAGGTGTACGCACACAGTAGTAAAGAAGCGAGCAACCGTATTCCGCGTGTCCAACGAGGTCATTTTCCATCCTCGCTCATGGTATGGTGTGGAGTTTCTTATTGGGGCTTAACAGAGGTACATTTTTGTGAGAAAGGTGTAAAAACGAATGCAGTTGTGTATCAAAAAACAGTCCTGACGAACCTTGTGGAACCTGTTTCTCATACCATGTTCAATAACAGGCACTGGCTATTCCAACAAGATTCGTCGCCAGCTCATATTCCAGTCAGATTGAAGGCCTGTATTCAAAATCACGGAAGTCATTTTCAATAAACTTTATTGTCATAAGAATCTTTGTTTTGTTAAGTTCATTTTGGTATATAAATGGTTACATAATGAATAAACTTGTTTCAATTATTTTATATTAAACATGTGACAGAATTTATGACCTGACTAGGTATAATTATTTATATTATGATGCAACTTTGATGCTCTACCAATACTCGCTCGCAATGCTCGCTAATTTGTATGGGAGCGATATTATATAGGACCATAAATGATATACTATATTCATTTCACATACTTTCATAGAAATCGGCTGTCCACTATTTTTGATGCGTATGACACTCTTAAAAGCTAGTATGATGCATGAATATATAACACTTTGAATAGGTACTCCAGTAAAGTTGCGTAATCGGTTAATTTTATTCAGTTTGAATTTACAAGTTACCACACGCACTCGATTGTATCATACTTGAAATATACCGTGTGAAAATGGGTTAAATCACGAAATATTAAAAAAATCTTATGTAGCTAAATGTATTTATTTATAAACCGATGGCCGTTGGGGCGAAAAGGTTCTGGAATGGCGACCACGCACCGGACGACGCTCTGTGTTCAGGCCCCCCACAAGATGGACCGACGATCTTGTGAAGGTCGCGGGAAGCCGATGGATGCGAGTGGCGCAGGACCGATCGGTGTGGAGATCCTTGGGGGAGGCCTATGCTCAGCAGTGGGCGTCATACGGTTGACATGATGATGATGATGATGATGATAAACCATAATGAAAACTTTATGATAAGCGATAATGTGGTGGTTTAATAAATATTAATGAATAATTTTAGTTTATTGGTATGAGAAGATAATGCGTCACAGTCAACATATTATAACCATATCCAGTTTGCAATTTATTTTATGAATGCAATAAATGAATTACATTATATTCATTTATTGCATTCAATTACTTTATATAAATTTAAACACTTTCGATGATATCGAGAAAAACTTGTACAAAACTTTTTCAAAACATTTGGTTGATTTTTTTTATTCTCTCATAATACTTAGATGGTAAAGGACACTAGTGGTTACAGCCTTATTATGTCAGTCCGTACGCGGTCCGTACTTTTCCTTCAAGCTTGATTGACTAGAAAAGAAAGAAAAAACATAAAATATAACATAAAAGTCGTTAACAAATACGGCCAGTGCTTTGTAAATAGGATTCAAAATTATGACGACATCGAATTAGTTCAACAACATAACATGTACTTTTAGATTTGTAATGGAATAAATAAATAATGGATATTTCTCTTTGTTACAGATAACTAACTGATGCTGTGGACAAGCCGGGTATCCGTCTCCAACCTCTTTTCTGTGCAACCTCTAAGCTCTTCAAACGTTACGTAACGTCATCTGTCAGTTAGGCCAAAACTCCGAACTAACCTCGCGAATTTTTAAAGCTTTTTGTGAAGTAACAAAGAAAAATTGTGTAAACAAATTATGAGGATAAGATCTTCGAAGAGATAGTGTTGGTTTTCAGTTTAAATCCTTTTGAATTGTGATGGCGTCTTGGGGTTCGTGTGGCGTTTGGACTGTGTGTGTGGTGCTGTGCTTGCTGGGCCAGATATCGGGCTTGGACAATGGACTGGCTCTTACCCCACCGATGGGGTGGCTCGCGTGGGAAAGGTTTAGGTGTAACACGGACTGTAAGAACGACCCGGAGAATTGTATAAGGTCAGTATGTTCGTTATATATATAAATCATTGTATATGTAAATAATCATTGGTGTGTGGGTAAAACTGGGCTAAACTGTACTTTCTGTGCCCAAGAGATTATAATTGATATTTCATTGTTGAAAAAGGTCGCTATTAATTTTTTTTTTCTGGCGCTTCGCCGGCCGCTGCCGGCAAGCTCGTTTTTCTCGCTCGGCTCGCGCGCTATGGCCACAACACTAACATAACTTAACCTACGAGTAGTGTGAAGTATCGCCTCTGAGCCTAGGAAGTTCAATATACCTATCCTAAACAATAGCACAATCTATAACTACAATTATTTATTTATTTATTGTAGTAAAACGAACAGCTATTAAAACACAAAAAAATAAGGTATAGTAAGCCAATTGCAGGTTACATTTTTCACAGATAGAAAAATAATACTAAAAAGAAATAAACGGTGAAACACTACGACACACACAAACACACTACTAAATACAGCTCCATTTATTTAAAATGTTACTACAAAAACTTCCTTCTCATTTCCTCACGCAATTAAAGACATTGGAATATTCATTTATTTGTAACACAATGCGGACAATGAATTCCCCGATTACTTGGTCCCTTCTACAACTCGGGGTCCTTTCAAAGGCGTGCAGAAACAACTTGCAGACCAGCAAGGTGATGATGGTTGATGTCACAAGTTGAATTGCTGTCTCAGCCTATCTTCTAGAACTCCACCGTCATACAACATTCAGTAAGGGTGGAGTCATTTGTTCGGACCTAAATATATAAAAAGAAATTGCCTTGTTGCAATTCCCAGCGAAGAAGGCGTTATTACCCTGAGCTCCTCCGTGCTTGCCGCTGATTCCGTCTGCACCTGCAGTCGTTAGCACCCACAAACAGTATCCGGTGGTGTGGTGGGTCACGGCCCAATTACATATATTATTCACGTCATAGGGAACGCCTGTTTCCCAGCAGTGAGGATATTAATAGGCTGATAATGAGTCATCATTCATGACGTAATGATCTGGCATTCCAGCGATCGCCTGTTCCCATGGCACATTAAAAAAGATGGTTCTGTTCCGTAGAGACGCGACATAAACAACCGTATTTTGAGTACCTATACCTATGTGATTTAAATTTCAACTCGATACCTTTGCGTGTTTCCGATATAAACGGTCTTGACAGAGGCCAGATGGACAATAAAGTGATAAGGGCTTTATCTCCTTTTGAGGTACGGAACCTTAGATTAAAACAAAAAGGGAAGATATAGCACTCGCTATATATATTACTAGCCGACCCAGCGAACTTCGTATCGCCATAAAAATATGGGTGGTAGAGGGGTGAAAATTAAGGGTTGTTTGTGTTTTTAATATTACGATACATATTTAACGTAGTTTTTTTTTTCTTCAGACGATTTAATAATTATTTTGAACACAAAATCGTTTATTGTGATTAAACCATGATAGCTAGATATATGTTCTCGCGGACCTTTTTGTAGGTCTTAATGGGATCTCGTAGTACATCATTTTTTTCTATTGTCAATAGTTTTTGCAGCGCACGCAAAAATAGGTTTTCGATTTTACACTTTGTGTTACAAAATAGCAATTTTATTACGGATCCCTAATTTTGAAAATATCGCCTATAGCCTTCCTCGATAAATGGACTACCCAACACTGAAAGAATCATTCAAATCGGACCAGTAGTTCCAGAGATTAGCGTGTTCAAACAAACAAACAAACTCTGCAGCTTTATAATATTAAGTATAGACTAGTGGCCCGCCCGCGCTTTGCTTCGGTGTAGAGCTGTAGTGTAGACTATAGTTTTTGTTCAAATGCTTGTATTATAAACAATGACCTTCTTCATAATAATTATAAACCTTCCATTCCAAGTACAAATTTCGTTGCGTAGTTTAGGACCCGTTGTTGTACCGAATGCAAAATAATTTTTTCTGCTGTTCCGATATGAAAAAATCTTTTTGTATTGGACAGTGCATTTATCGAGAAAGGCTATAGGCTATATACTACCAGGCTACGACCAGTAGCAGCGGAACATCGATGAAAAATGTTGCAAAAACGGGTAAAAATATTCCATTTGTGTGATTCCGTTGCTTGCGACGGGTTAAAGTTACACAAAAATTATGTATGTCGAAATTCTCCCTCTCAAAAGTTCTGTAAAAAAGTCCACGAAAGCCTATGTACATATTTTAAGTTTGACTTACTATAAACCTTTTTCTTCAAATTAACATGGGTGAAACCGCCTAACCGAAACATGGGGGACCTCTCGTTGTGACATAACTGTAATAGTTAGATAATTATATGGTATCGCAGATTTTTTTGTAGATATTGGTATCCTTTATAAAACTTTAGTAGGTACATCACTTTGCTCTATTATCAATGACTTCCGTAGCGTACGCGATATAAGGCTATTTTTTGATATATTTTACACACGTTGGGTTACATTATCGAAGTTCTCTTACGGACCCTAACTTTTTTGAAAATACACTATAGCCTATATTAATCAGTGATAATGTAGCATTCAAATGGTGAAAGAATTTTTAAAATCGGTCCAGTTCTTTTTGAGTCAATTCGTTACAAACAAACTTACATACAAACTTTTCCTCTTTATAAATCTATACTAATAAGATTTGATGCTAGTATGAGCGTACCGTATCTTCCCTTTTTGTTTTATCCAAGTACGGAACTCTTAAAAAAGGTTGGAATCATGACGTACCGATGTTCCGTTCCAGCGACCGCCTGTTCAGGACGATGACGGACATCCTGGTGTCGGAGGGGTACGCGGCCGCCGGCTACGAGTACGTGAACGTGGACGACTGCTGGCCGGAGCGCGAGCGGGACTCGCGCGGCCGACTCGTTCCCGACCGCGAGCGGTTTCCGTACGGCATGAAGAGCTTGGCTGATTACGTAAGTAGGAGTTCCCATACGATTACAACCTCCTTGTATCTTAAATTATGAATGACGGCCAGATAGAAAACTTAACTGGCGCGGTATCTCTACGGTGTATCCTCTGTCCCTCACGATTACAACCTCCTGAGCCGATGACAATCTATATTAGTTAGGAGACTGTCAGTGCGGGCGAGTCGTATCTAACCGCGAGCTTCTCCCCCCCCCCCCCCCTCCTAGAATACTAATTCTAGGGGGAGGGGAATTAAAATTAATAACGAAATTAACTAATTCTATACGACTCGCCGCTATAAGCTATACTGAGCTATATTTTGATTAAATTTACTAAAATTAAATCAAAATATAGTTCAGTAGCGAATGCCCCTCACCCTACAGTTCAAGTAAATAAGTAGGTGCCAGGTTCGGCAGCGGGGTAAATGGTACTCTTTGGTAAGACATTATTTATTATTACTTTTTGTTTGATGGTTGCGAGCCGGATTTTACCCATTCGAGGGCCGCAGATGGCCGGCGAGCTGTAGTTTTGCGCATGCCTTAGGGCATGAAGAGCTTGGTTTGGTTAATTATGTGAGTACCGATTGCGCTCAACTTCTAATCCGCTCTGAAGTTTCTTCGCGCAGGTGTACAGTCGTATACAGATCGCAACAAATTTCTAGTCCGCTCTGAACACTGCACAATTCGCGTCGCAGTTACAAGAGACAGGGTGACAAAGATTGTGTATACCCCTGTGCTAAGCAACTTCAGAGCGGAATAGAAGTTTGGCACGATCTTTATCAAAACTTTCACACCCGGACCAATCTGGCTGATTAGTCTACCAGCGTCTACGCTACGACTAATCCGTACTTAAATTGTGGTGATGACTGATGAGCAGGTTCGCCAACCGTCCAAGTGCACCACTCCTTTGTCTAAACTAGATTCTCTTTTTCTTTTTTTGGATAAATTATTTATCACAACACACACCATCACATCACACCAGAGGCGGATTATCGTTAAGGCAAACTAGGCATATGCCTTGAGGCGCGAGGGTACAAAGGGGCGCGCGGGCGGAATTGTAAAATGAAGAAAAAGACTATAATATAGCATAAAATTATTTGGGCCAGTAAGGAAGCCACCTACTTACACAATAAAAACTATTTTTGCTTACAACCTCTATTTGCTACAATTTATAACAAAAGTTAAATTTAAGGGATGGGACTGACTAATACTTACGCCTTTAAACAACCTTGTCGATGGTACATTATCTCTGATTAAATTTGGAAAGATACGACTGCAACGTTCGTCGCATTGACCAGATCGGTTTCGGTCAAACTATAGTACGACTTATTTTTAATATAGGGGCGCCTATAAGAAACTTGCATACGGCGCTCCCAACGTTTAATCCGCCACTGCATCACACATATTATCCGTTATGCCCTGTCTCCCTAAAAATATATATTAATGAATAACACTTAAGAAATATTTAAAAATATCCAATTTAGATACAGGATCTAAAGGTTTTTTAGTTTAGAGCGAATTTATTAAAGCTACATTATACACTTTATTAGGATCGGAATTTTTATAATGTCACATTATGTATAAATATGGCGTCCGGTTGCTAGATATATCACCTAATATTTAAACTGTTACATATTCCTGATCTGGTTTCCAATTTTATAGGACTACTTTATAAATGTCAATATTTACATTGTGTTTCGTAACTTTCGGAGTATCTGCCGATGCGTAAACTCAATATTTTTTTTAGGTTGGCAAACAAATGCAAGTCTATAATTGTTTTCAAAAATTGGCAAACAATAGTTATTCTATTTATGTGGGAAATAAGAATATCACATGAGTGTTAATACCTAATTACGAACAGTTGCATACAAATACTCTTTTACACCCATGATATGAATCATTTATGAAAGATTCTGAAACCATCGGGCGTTTTAAGAACTTATAACATGAAAAGTTTCGGCGTCGCTGTGGTAGTGAAACGCGCTTGCATGACAATGTTCCTTTTCAATGCACTTGCTCGGAAAGTATTCTTTTATATGTACATTTGATACTTATTCGTAATAACCTACTTTCCGCACGTATATATACGCATCGGGAAGTGAAAATTGTGGCTGTCTCATGAGTAGGCTTAACGCGGAAGGGATTTAAAAAACGAAGGAATGTTATTATGAAATTTAATTAAAACATCCTACATCTTAATAAAAAAAAATATAGTATTCGAATTCGATAATAGTTCGTGCTAAGGGTGCACTGTACCCCTAGCACGAACCATTATCGAATTCGAATAGTTTGCAAACTGAAATGTCAATTTCAAATTTTGTATGGAAACTTGAACAGCAGCGGCACAAAGTACGTAACGAGAACTCAAAATCAGCACACATTTGACAATGACATTTCGGACTCGCAAACGATACGAATTCGATATTGGTTCGTGCTAGGGGTACTGTAGTCGTGCTATAGCCGCGGTGAAGCGAGAGAAGTAAGAAGAACAAACTAACTTTCCACCACAGCATTGCCGATGTGATTCGAATTTATTTCAAACTAGTGGCGCGCCCTCGCTTCGCTTAGGTGTAGAGCTGTAGTGTAGACAAAAATGCCTCTTCATATAATTATAAAAAAAAACTGAAAATTGTTTATTTGCCTTTTCCAAACTTCTATTGACATCACGTCACTCAATTGTTTTGCCTTCCCGGAACCTCTCCACTAACATTTATATTTATGGTATGGTATTAAAGTTCAAATTGACTTTTAAGTATTATTACGAATCGTTTCTATGGGAGTATAGAAAATTGTTGTTTTTTGGACTTTTTCAGGTATTTTTTATAATTTTTCTCTGCGTAAGAACCATCCTTGTATTTCAAGGAATATTCTGAAAAAGAATTATCGAAATTGGTTCAGCTGTTCTCGAGATTTGCGCTTAGCAACACATTCAGCGATTCAGTTTCATATTATAGAAGATTCGTGTTTTAATTCAAAATCACACGGCGGATTCCGAGCTAAAAATGTGGTTGTTCTTAGAGTATAGAACTGCAGGACCCGTTCTTTTAACAGTTTGTGAGACACAATATCAAAAGTCGCAAAGGACTTTCATTGTTACCCAACTAAGAATAAAATTTTAAGGTCTTTAACCCACCATTGTTCGTATTATCATTGATTCTTTGTTCATTGTAGTAGCACGTTTTCACACGAACATGACACGTGTTTTTAGAAAATGTCTAGAGCGGCACTACTTACTTACTAGCTCATGTTGACATGTCTCAGACAGAAATTATTATTTTTAAGTTTTTTTTTTGCTTCGTCAATTTATGTTTCAATCCGGGGGGCCAATCGCCTCTTCAAAGAGGGGCACACGGGTACGCCCAAGTAGCCCTCCGCAGCGGACGGGGGGCTGTACGGTGGGCACTAGGCCGCGTACTCAGCCCCAATGCGCGGGCCATCCTGCGCACGTCTGCGGGGTCCCCGCGATACCCCGGGAGACCCCTGCCGTGGTCTAGGCCTAGGCTAGGCCGGGAGGCTGCTGGGTGCGAAGATGCGGAAGAATCCCTAAACGGGAATACCGCGACTTCGCGCTAAGCAGCTTAGAGGGTATTCGCAGGGTTTTTTAGCGTATATTATGTCGTGAAGCGCCCGTAAGAGTTACGGGGTCCTCAGTGGGTAGCCACTGCTGGGGCTTGTAAGGCTTGCGGGAGCCAGGTGTGAGGTCCGTTCGGCGGTGTGCGTCTTAAAGGCGTCGTCGTCGGTAAACAGTATTTTTTGCCTGCGTAAAAAAAAAAGGAGCCAATTCGCCTAATAAGATTGCTATGGCTATCGCTATCGCTTGCGATTTCATTCTGTTATTTCTGACCACCGCAAGGTTTCAAATGCCTAGCGCTCCTTTTTTTCTTTTGCATTAGTAATAACAATATAAATGAAAATGAGTGGGATGTTTTTGGTAACCTTAGGCGATCAGGAATAACAAAATTAAATTGTAAGCGATAGCGATAGCCGTAGCAATCCCGTTAGGCAATTTGCCCCCAGGTTATAAGTAATATGCGTACCATATTCAATCCAGTCCATCTGTTTAGCAGTTCTTGCGTGGTTCTTGCTGTCCTATGAAATTAACTCTCCCGAATTACAAGTTAATATTTCATTTTGTTAAACCTTTCTCAGCTTCTATCATAGTCACAATAATTGCGAAGAAAACCACATCATCGTGACTGTATTATTTTCCATGGTTGATGGTGCTATTCCGTTATTAAGAACTACGATTGGAAATTTTCTTCACGAGTTCCGTACCGTTTTTTTATATTCGCAAAATGGTTCTCAAGGAAGTTCTTAAAATACGTGAAGTTTTGTATGAGATGTCAGCTTTTAACCGATTTATATTAATAAAACCTTAAATCGGCGAAGTCATGCGGGAGCTATAGTTAATGTGACGTCAATTAAATACATGTAAATGTGTCAAATGTTTTTTTTATGATTAAACCGTAGTCAAATTTAACTATGGATGAAGCACCGCGGCTTAAGTGAAGTTTGCTGAAAAACCCAGCCCATATTATCTACTCGAAAGATGAAAATAACTTTCTCTCCTCTACTTATGGCACGATTATATTTGGTCGTTAGAATTCGGGTAAACGAACGAAGTCGAGTACAGTACCCTTAGTACGAGTTTTACAATTACGAAAACTATGATAGTTTACGTGAGCTCGCACTCGTACTAAAAGGTACTTGATTTTATTGTTTCCGTTTCAATACAAATAAACAGTATTGAAATTCTATCTTTAAATCATTTGTGTCTTCTTAAATTTAGCTTATTAAAGTATATTTGGTTACTCCTCACCAAAATGGACATAGAAACATAATTTACAATTAGGAAAACTATGATAGTTTTCGTGAGCTCAAACTCGTACTAAGGGTACTGTTCGCGGCACGTTACTCTAGCGCTGAACAAAACACGGAGGGGATAGCTGCGCATGGGTACGACTGGAGAGACAATCAGCGCAACGCATGCCCACCCGCGCACCTCGTTT